GGTACACCTGGGTGGGCCAAACTAGGCCAAGGCTCATGACATCACCCAGGTGGGCTTAACTCAGGCAATGGGGTCAACCAATATCATCAACCACGCCTTCCCCAAGCCAGGGGGTGGTCTAGAATAAAGGCAGGCAGCACGCTCTGGGAAGCTCTCTCTGACCCTGCTCCTGGTCAGAGACAGGTGGAGGGGAATGCACCTGCTCCGGGCCTACTTGGGACCCACGGCCTCTTGGCCCATATGCTTTCAGCTTCTAGGGTTCTTGGGCTTCTGGCCTCCTGGGACACCCCCCACCACCACACCACCACCGAGATCCACATGCATGGATGCTCTTTTCCACGTGGTTGTTCAGGCCCAGTTGTGAACCTCGTTGAGACTGTAAAACCTGAAACTTGTCCTGTCCTTCATGAAGACTCACTTGGATTACAAAACGGGCTTCAGCGTGAATTCTTTCATTGTGTGAAGCCAAGAACCAAGGTATTACCCACTCCAGAAACCTAACAGTTACATGTTAGGCTGCCAACCACAAAGTCAACAATTAGAACACTTAGTTGCTCTGTGGGAGAAAGATGAGGTATTTTAATCCCATAAAAAGTTATGCTCTCACATGGCCGGCCCCACTATGAGACACGACATCCCTCACTGACTCATAGCCCTACAGGGAACAACACTGGAGACACAGTGTGGAAACTGCCCGATCTGACCCCACCACACCGAGGCAAAACATTAAGGGCATGCAACGGAACAGCAAGGGGAACAGAGCAACAAAGTCCCCAGGGCACACCTAAAATAGACTTTGGGGCCAGGGCATGGCACCCCATTAGACTCTACCAGAAAACACTCCTAAAGGCCAACAAACAGTCCTTGAACTATCTACAGACTTTTCTTTCTTTTTTTCTCATTGTTTTTTGTTGTTGTTTTGTTTTCTTTTCTTTTGTTGCTTTGTTTTGCTCTGTCTTATTTTTGTGCATGTTATTATCTCCGCAGGTCTGTCTAAATAAGATAGGCTGGATGAACAGTCTGGAGGAGAAAACAACAGGATCTACGGTTCCCAGGGGACGTGGAAGAGGAGGAGGTGGGTGGAAAGGAAGTGGTGTTACCAAACCCAGGGACAAGGGAAAAACAAGGGATCCAAAATCGGTGGTGATGAGGCCTGGTATGGCTTGATCAAGGGTAATGTAACCGAGAGGAATTATTGAAACCCAAATGAAGGTTGAGCATGATAGTGGGACAAGAGGAAAGTAAAAGGAAATAGAGGAAAGAACTAGGAGGCAAAGGGCATTTATAGAGGTCTAAATAAAGACATGCACATATGCAAATATATTTATATATGAGGATGGGGAAATAGATCTATGTGCATATATTTATAGGTTTAGTATTAAGGTAGCAGAAGGACATTGGGCCTCCACTCAAGTACTCCCTAAATACAAGAACACTTTGTTCTGTTAAACTGGCATTCCGTGATGCTCACCTTCCCAACATGATTGATGAAGACAAAGTGGGTGCATAAGCAAATGTGGTGAAGAAAGCTGATGGAGCCCGGCTATCAAAAGATATAGTGTCTAGGGTCTTAAAGACTTGAAGGTAAACAAGCAGCCATCTAGCTCAAAAGCAACAAAGCCCACATAGACGAAGCACACCAACCTGTGTGATCACAAGGTGCCAAAGTGATCAGTTATCAGGCATCAAAGAACGAAAAATCATATCATTGTGAATGAGGGGGAGTACAGATTGGGGACCCAAGACCCATCTGTAGGCAACTAGATATCCCCTTACAGAAGGGTCGTGGGGAGGAGACAAGCCAGTCAGGATGCAGTGTAGCAAGGATGAAACATACAAGTTTCCTCTAGTTCCTAAATGCTTCCTCCCCACCCAATATCATGATCCCAGTTCTACCTTACAAATCTGGCTAGATCAAAGGATGTACACTGGAAACACAGGGAATCCAGGACAGATGATCCCTTCAGGACCGAAAGGGTGGAGGGAGGGTAGGGTGGAAAGGGGGAACCGATTACAAGGATCTACATATAACCTCCTCCCTGGGAGATGGATAACAGAAAAGTGGGTGAAGGGAGACGTCGGACAGTGTAAGATATGACAAAGCAATACTAATTTATAAATTATCAAGGGTTCATGAGGGAGGGGAAAAATGAGCTGCTACCAAGGGCTCAAGTAGAAAGTAAATGTTTTGAGAATGATAAGGGCAACAAATGTACAAATGTGCTTGACACAATGGATGGGTGGATGCATTGTGATAGGAATTGTATGAGCCCCCAATAAAATGATTAAAAAAAAAGAGTTATGGTCTCTGAAAGCAGTGGGGGCAGTTATATCCTGTCCTATGATTGCTGAGTCAGAAAGGACTCAGTGGCAGTGAGTTTGCAGGGATTTTTTGTTTTGTTTAGAATATTGGGAGAGAAAACAAGCTATAGCACATCAACTTTATATGAGCTATACAAAGCTGAAAAACTAGGGAGGGAAAAAAGGAGCTGATACTAAGGGCTCAAGTAGAAAGAAAATGTTTTGAAAATGATGACAACATATGCACAAATGTGCTTGATACAATGGATGTGGATTTGTGATAAGAGCTTAAGAGCCCCCAATAAAATGATTTATTAAAAAGAAAAACTAAGTAAAAATCAATTAACACTTCTTTTAATGGTTATCCTTGGGGCCGAGGGAAGGCAGGGAATTGCAATAGGAAGAACGCACACATCGATGTGATGATACTGGAAATGGTTTCAGGTGTTTTTTTTAAGATGGAATCCTAGGTATTTATTTTGCTTTCATGCTCACAGAATGTAAGCTGCCATTCAATTGACAGAATTCTAGAACATGTCAGAATCAATATTCAGTAAAAGTTGAGAAATATTTGATGCATTGGTGGCGTTTTATGGTTTTTCGTTTCTGATTATTCAGTGTTAGTATATTGTGTGTGGTTCATTTCTGTGTTGATCCTGAATCCTGCAACCCTGCTCACTTCACTATCAGTTCTAGTTTACTTCGTGGGGACGATTCCTGGTGGTGTTCAATGGAGACAATCGCGTCCTGTGAATGGGGAGCTTTCTCGTTCCTTCACAGTCTGCATTTCTTTTCTTTGCCTTACTGCACTGGCCAGACCTTTGCGTATTCATGTCAAACGGGAGTGGGAAGAGTAGATATCTTTTGTTCCTGATACTAGAAATAAAATATACAGTCTTTTACCATTAAGTACATTAGGTATAGGAGTTTGTATATGCCCTTTACCAAGATGTAGAAGTTGTTTTCAATTCCATGCTTTTTGAGCATTTATATCATGAATGGAAGCTAAATTTTGTCACTTTTTTTTACTGCCTCACTTGATGTGATCATGTATGGCTTCATTTACTTAGACTGTTAAGATGGTGGATTGTATTAATTTTCAAATATTGAACCAACTTTGCATTCCTAAGCTTAACATGCACTTGATAATGATGCATTTTTAATGCAATAATGTCATATTCTTTTGATCTATTTCATGTATGGCTGGATCAATGAATACTTTGATGAGGATCCCCCCCCCACTCCCTCCCGGCCCAGCCCACCCCCTTTCGGCATGGAGTTCTTTTTGTACTAACCTTTGTCTGCTTTTGGTTTGAGTATAATCTTTTTCAAAAGGAGCCTCATGGTGTGGTGTGAAGTGTGGCTGCTAACAAAAGAGCCCTGGTGGTTCCAGATCACCAGCTGTGCGGTGAGAAGAAAGATGAGGCAGTCTGCATCCAGAATAACAGTAGCCCTGCAAACCCTAGGAGCTGTCTACTTTGTCCTTACTGTAGGGTCACTGGGAGTCAGAATCAATTCCAAGGCGCCTGTTGTGGAAAGTATTTGGTGCATTGTACCAAGTCTTGACAACGTGTATGCCCAAGGGTTCCACGTCTGCGAATTTATCTTCAGAAAAGAGATTGTTCTTACACGGAAGTTGGATTCAGATAACCCTCGATTTGAATATCCATTCATCAGTTGACTAACTGCTTACATTCTGTGGGTCTGTTTCCTAATCTGTCAAACAGAGATACGCCCTTTCTTCACAGAATTGTTGTTAAAAGGGACAATTCAGTGCCCAGACGTGGTATGTTTAGAATAAACGGTAGCCCTTGATTCTGTGTTGTCGACCAGCCTCTGCAGGGCAATTCTGACTGGATCAGAAAACACCATCTTTGCTCTTATTCACTCCCACTTTTGTCCTTTTGGGTAAGTAAGCTTTTTATCAAGGAAACCTGCTGGCATAGGGGGTTACAAATTGGGCTGCTAACCACAGGGTCATAAGTTCGGAAGCACCAGCCCTCTACAAGAGAATGAGGCTTTCTCCTCCGGTAATGATTTACAGTCTCAGCAACCACAGGGGCAGTTCCACCCTGTCTATAGGGTTGCTTAGAGTTGGAATGGCTTCGATGGTAGTGAGGGTTTTTGTTTTATTATTTTTTTAACTTCCTTATTCGCGATTCTTCTGGTTTATTTATTAGATGTGCTGGGCGTCAGCGGCATAAAAACCAAAAAGATGTCGTTCCTACCCTCAGAGGGCTGAGTCTATCAGAGATACACAGGCAAAATGATCAGGATTAAACAGTGCTAACAAGCACTATAATGGGAGAGGCAGTGCACTAAGAGGCAGTGCACTCCGAGGCCAGGGGCCTACAACGTATCCTGCCGAGCCTCCAGGATGCGGGTGGCGTGGGGTGACCGGGCAGAAGCTTACAGTCTCCATAACAACGGGACCAGCTAAATTCTTCAAGCTTCTCAAGTCACTTTTGTTCTTCGTCTGAACGGACGGAGAAAGGCCACTTCCGGGCCCCGCCCCGCCCCGCCCCTCTGTAGACCGACCGAGTCCCACTGCTCTGATTGGCTCAGGTGCATCAGAGGGCGGGAGCAGACGCATGGGGGCGTGGCCTAAGTCTCCCCCACGGGCGATTGGCTCGCAGAGCGGAAGCTAACCTCGTCCGCCCCGGAAGAGCAGCCGTGCGGTCTCGCGGTGCGGACTTGGCAGGTGAGGGTAACGCTTGCGAGATGCCGGGCGCCGAGGCGAAGGGCTCCGAGTTGTCTGCGAAGATCGAGAGCTTCGTGGAAACCCTGAAACGGGGCGGCGGGCACCGCAGTTCCGAGGACATGGCTCGGGGGACCCTGGGGCTGCTCCGGCGCATCATCACGGACCACCGCTGGAGCACCGCGGGTGAGGCGTCCCCGGCTCGCCCCCACCTCCGCCGCTGGCGGTGCGGCTCCCGAGGCTGAGACCCCTCGACTCAGCGCACTATCCCGCTGACTCTCTTCCCCGTAGGGGAGCTGATGGAGCTGATCCGCAGGGAGGGCCGGAGGATGGCGGCCGCGCAGCCCTCGGAGACTACCGTGGGCAACATGGTGCGCAGAGTGCTCAAGATCATCCGGGAGGAGTACGGCAGGTCAGTCCACGGGGCGCCGGCTGGAGCCGGGACCGCGTTCTGCAGGAGCCCCCCTCCCTGCGTGGCGCGCCACCTGCTAAGCCCCCTCCGGCATCTTCTCTTCACCTCTTTCTTTGGGTTTTGTTGCCTCCGCAGACTCCACGGACGCTGTGATGAGAGCGATCAGCAGGAGTCCCTGCACAAACTCTTGACATCCGGAGGCCTGAGCGAGGATTTCAGCCACCATTATGCCCAACTCCAGGCCAACATCATCGAGGCGATTAATGAGCTGCTGGTGGAGCTGGGTAAGAGTCCTTTTGATCCGTAGGTGGGACAGGACAGGTAGCCAGCAGGTGAGGGGGCAGAAGACCCACCCCGGAAATTGTCCACCAGCAGAGATGAGCGAGACCCAGTCATCTGGGGCTCAGAGGTCTGCCCTTAATCCTTTATAAACTACGAATCCACTGCTGGCAGAGGTGCTGATTAGGATAGAGCTTTATTTTTTTCATTTTAAAGGAAACGAACTCTCCCAAACCATCCTAGTTAGACCCTCCTCCATTAAACTTCTTAGGTTGTTAATACATTTGGCTTCTGCATCTAGGACTTAACCAGTGGGGCATCAAGAATATGGATGGGGAGCGGGGGAGAAGAGAAAAGATCAAAGCAACCCCCCCAAAAAAATAAAGGCCGAGGGAGTGTAAAGTGTAATGCACAAAGCATTTGCCTCGTTTCCAGTATTGTAAATACCGCAAATACCCATGTATAAGCCGGTTTTTCCATCACATTTTTAGTGCAGTTTTCGTGGTAAAATTAGGTGCCTAGGCTGATATTCGGGTTGGCGTATACTCGAGTGTATATGGTAACCTGTAGTTGCTAACCTGCCGTCAAGAGGTGCCATCAAGGTGATTCTACCTCATAGTGACCCTGTGTACCATAGAGTGAAACGTGGCCTGGTCTTGTGCCAGCTTACAATTCTTCTCAAGAGATGACTAACGTAGAGGGGAGGGTGTGGAACCAATTCCCTGTGGAGTCCAGGGACACACCACCTCCACCCCCCTTGTCATTGTGTCCCATGAGACCTGCAGATGATCAGTACAAGTTCTCCCAGGGAAGGAATCAATCCTTCAGAAGGGAGCCCGGTTTACGCCACCGAGGGCACTTTGGATTCTTCCAGACTTGCTTCATTCCTTGCCTGAACTCAGCGTCTTCAGAATGAGTTGCGCATGGTATTGGATGCACTAGCAGGAGTTTTGCATGGAGATGGTAGATTTTGGGAAAAGGAGTAGCCTGAGAACTCAACAGAAACCCCCCCCAGAAGTAGGGCTTGTAAGAAAGACATCTTCCTGGAACCCCGATAACCCTGTGGTAGGCTCGAGGGTCTGCTACGTGGGCAGCCATCCCTTCCGAACTCTTGTCCTGTCTGTCCATGGCCCTCCATGCAGTTTCATATTTGCCTTGCAAAACTGGCTGTGCTTGCAGAAGGGACCACGGAGAACATTGCGGCCCAGGCTCTGGAGCATATCCACTCCAACGAGGTGATCATGACCATTGGCTACTCCCGCACAGTAGAGGCGTTCCTCAGGGAGGCTGCCAAGAAGCGGAAGTTCCACGTCATTGTGGCTGAGTGTGCACCCTTCTGCCAGGTAGGGAACTTTAAGAACTGCTAAGAAGAAGGGAAACCGAGGCAGGGCTAAAGGAGGGGTGGGTGGAATCTGTGCCAACTCAGACCAAACCCAAACTCACTGCCATCGAGTCATTGCTGACTCATAGCGACTCCTTGTGTGTTTCCGAGACTAACTGTTGACGGGAGCAGAAAGCCCAATCTTGCTCCCTTTGAACTGCTGGTGGTTTTGAACTGTGGACCATGCAGTTTGCAACCCAGTGCGTAACCTCTACACTACTAGGGACCTGGATTCCAACATTGAAGTGGTGAGAAAATAGCATGAAATGATACAGAGAATTTTCAGGTTCATCCTGTGAACATTCTTGAACATTGGTATAAGAAAGTGGTGAATTGCTGGGTCCATGAAATGATAAATATTGGTCCTTTTAGGAATCAGAACAGGATAAATTACCTTGGAGGTGCCTGGTGCTTGGGCTAACCTCACTAGTCCCTAGGTAAATTAAAAAACAACCACCATCCCATTTGCCATTGGGATCATCCCGATGTAGAATGAGAAGCCAGCCCAGAACTGCGACAGTCTTTGTGGGAGCCGAGGGCCACACCTTTCCACCGCAGAGCAACTGGTGGGTTCACACCCTAACTTTGTGTGGCAGCCAAGGCCTTTCACCGCTGCGTCGTGAGAGTTCCTTAGGTGAAGAACAGGTCTCAAAAGAGAATATACTAATCTAAGGCCGCAGGATGATGTAAAATAACAAGCCAGGCGCTCGCTTGGCAGCTTGGCCTGGTTATACAGGCAAGCAGTATTTCCAGTTGTGTGGCTACTCTGGGGTTTTACACATTTATTAGCTTCCTCAGGGCTTCTGTGCACCTTGCCACAGAACACTTGCCATTGGTAGATGAAGTACCTGTTACAGACTTCTGTGTCTGACTCGGGAGCCCCCAGTCCCGGTTAACATGAGAACCTTTCCTTGTGCAGCAGCCCTTCCTTCCTATTGCAGGGTCACGAGATGGCCATCAATTTGTCCGATGCGGAGATCGAGACAACTGTCATGACTGATGCTGCTATTTTTGCTGTCATGTCAAGAGTCAACAAGGTGAGTCTACTTGGGTCCGTTGATTGGATTTCATTCTTCTTTCATGTGTATCATTGTTCATTTGTAATAGTGTCTAAATTTGGTTAACAAACTGAAAATTAAAACTGCCGAACTAAAGCTAAGTGTGTCAGCTGCCTGGGCTGGGTGAGAGAGTACCTGCTCTTTGCTCAGAGACCCTGGCGGTGGTAACTGGTGAATGGCAAAAGCTCTTGGCTTGTCGGGAGGTGTGGTGTGTATTTTCCAGAAAAGACAGGGCTCAGAATCATAGATTTTGCAGTTTCCAAGCTTATAGTATGTCTGTTCTTTTCGGGGGAATCAACTTTTAAGCTATAACCTTTGGTCCTGAGCCTAGCTTTTATTCTTCTGGTTTGTGATTCTGTAGGATGCTAGGCCCCTTGAAGGCTCCCCCCACTCCCAGGAGGCCTCACATTCTTCTTCCTGTTCCTCAGGTGATCATTGGCACAAAGACCATTCTGGCCAATGGGGCCCTGAGAGCGGTGACGGGGACGCACACTCTAGCCCTGGCAGCCAAACACCACTCCACCCCGCTCATCGTCTGTGCTCCTATGTTCAAGCTTTCCCCACAGGTATGTCCGTCTGCTGGCTGGTTGCCCACACAGCAGGAAGCCTTCATCTGTTCCCGCTGCGCCCTGTGGGTGTGCATCTGCTCAATGCACTAGACCAGACGTCCTCAAACTAGGGCCTGCGGGCCACATGTGGCCCTCCGAGGACATTTATCCGGCCCGCTGGGTGTTTTTGCCCCGTTTTTTTTATACTTCAAAAGAAGTTATGTGCAATATGCATAGGAATTTATTCATAGTTTTTTTTTTTAAGCCATAGTCTGGCCTTCCAAGAGGTCTGAGGGACAGTGAACTGGCCCCCTGTTTAAACAGTTTGAGGACCCCTGCACTAGACCCAGGAGGCGCTGGGAAGCAACACAGAGTCCTGGTCTAGGCCTGGCAGCTTTGTGATTAGGTGCCGGCAAGTCAGGGCTGACGCCCAGCCAGCCTGCACAACAGAAACAAACACTTTCCGGTCCAGCGCCATCCTCACATTTGTTTTGATGTCCTTCTCAAGGGACTGGTCTCTTGGCAACATGTCCAGAGTACGGGGGACACAGTCTCACCATCCTTGCCTCTAAAGAGCATTCTGGCTGTACTTTTTCCACGACAGATTTGTGTTCTCTTGGCAGCCCGTGGTACTTCAAGATTTTTCACCAGCACCATAAGTCCAATCATCACTTGTTTGGGAAGTCTAGACTGTTGTGATGAGGAGCCTTAGGAGCATAGTGGGTAAACATGGGGCCGCGATCCTCCAGGTTAGCAGTTGGAAACCACCTCTGAGGGGGAAGATGGACTTTCTACTCCCGGAAAGCCATACGGTCTTGGAAACCCACCAGGGCAGTGCCCCCCTGTCCTATAGGGGTGCTATGAGTCAGCATCAGCTCGACAGCCGTGGGTTTGGTTTGGTTTTGAAATCGAAAGGTTGGGACAATCTGTAGTGGGGAAAGGGCTATGCTTACCTCCTCCCCACAGATCCCTCTCTTATGTCTGAAACTACTCATCAGGGAGAAATAGAAACAGTGTGGGTCCAACTTGTCTTAATTCAGGACCTTGTCCTCTTTAGCTCAGATACAAACAGTAACTAAGTAAAACCATTTCATATGATAGAAGTATTTGTTTAGACAGCATGAACCTATTTATAGATCTCTCTCTCTCTCTCTCTTTTTAACTTCCCAGTTCCCCAATGAAGAAGATTCATTTCACAAGTTTGTGACACCTGAAGAAGTCCTGCCTTTCACAGAAGGTACGGAAGTTGTGTTGTGTTGTGTTGTTGTGTCGTGTTGGTCAAAGCTGCTGGCCGGTGGTGCTTTCTTGCGGTGACTCTTCTCCTAAGCAGCTCCCAGGGGCCTTGGGTGGGCCATGTTCTGAGGCAGACACGTTAGCTGAGTTGTTGGGGCTGTGGGGGCTGGCTGGCCTAGCATTGACTGGCTTTGGCTTTGCACGTTGTGGGAGACAGGCTACCATTTAGAGGGAGCGTGCACTTGAGGCTGGTTGCCGTCGGGAGGCAGTTTGGCGACGTGGCTGTCGGAGGAGGTGGCCTGTGAAGCATTCCTATTTATAACACTCACTTGACACCTGGTGTTGGTGTCATCTGCCGTGGCTGCTTCTAAAGGTAGCAGCTTGGCGCAGTGAGCCTGCTGCCTCATCTAACGTACCCGGCCGTAAGCACACTCGCGTTTGTTCTTGGAAGCTGAGTCCCATTTATTCAGACAGTCCTTCTCGGAACAAATGGCTGTTGAGCACTTGTTAGGTAGCCAGCACTGCGCTGGGCACCATGCACGTCCCAGGACCCTGCGCCGAGAATGCTTCCATTTCTTCTGGAGGAGGACAGATAGAAAGGGTGTGGCCATGGGGTGTTTTAGGGGAGAAATTGCCGCTCCACTCCAGGTACTGATGGAAAGGGGCTGGTGGGCTGCCTGAAGAGTGAGCTAGGGGTGGGGGTGAGGGGGAGGAGCCAGGAGGGGGCCTCTCCAAGGTAACATTTCAACACACGGGAATGAAAAGAGCAGCCATGAAGCTGGGGCCCATTTTCCCGGCCCTTAGAAGAAGGGCCTGCGATGGGTGGATATAAGCTCAGCTTGTCGGGAAGAGATGGCTCCCTGGCTCCAGAACACAGTCACTGAGGGGAGGGGAGGGGAGGGGCTAGGGCTTGCCGGCTGTGGTTCCCAATTTGGATTTTACCATCGAGGCTATATAAAGGCACTGGAAAGTTGCAACCAGGGAACATCATCCAAGGCCCCAGCTTTAAAAAGGTGTTCACCTCTTCTGCTTTGCATTGTGCCGCAACTTGCCTTCGGGAGCATAGCCGGCAGCCACTGGGCATAGAAGCTGTGCTGCTGAAATGCTGGAGCAGGGCCCAGCCCACGCGGGCTTACCTCCAGCCTGTCTGTTGCCTTCCAGGGGACATCCTGGAGAAGGTCAGCGTGCACTGCCCCGTGTTCGACTACGTGCCCCCAGAACTGATTACTCTCTTCATCTCCAACATTGGTGGGAATGCCCCGTCCTACATCTACCGCCTGATGAGTGAGCTCTACCATCCTGACGACCACGTCCTGTGACCGGTGTCTGTCCTCAGCAGAAGCTGCCGGCACTCGGGACAGACAGAGGGAGCCGGGGCTGCTGCTGAAACACACCCTCCTGCAGAGAAACTGGATGCTTTTCCCGGCTCTGCAGCCATCCTCTCACCAGGCCGCACACCCAGCCCCCTGTGCCTTTTGGCTCTTAAGCTGGTGGCTGGGCTTCCCCTACTGGCTGGGAAGCCTCCTAGTGAGCGTGTGTGTGCTTCAAGGAACTCTGACTTTCTGGTTCAGTGATGTGTTGACATATGACACTGGCTACCTGGCTGGACAGAGATTTCTGCTTAGAAATGGCTCCCACCTCTTCCTTGGCACTGCCAATAAAAACTACCATCAGGTTCCCAAATTGGTAACTTGCCATCATGCTCCCATGGCCTCATCTGTTTTCAGAGGGCACGTACAAATGGCAGTATTTACGGGTCTTCAAACAGCTTGCTTGTACATGGTCCCCAGGCCCTTCAGATGATGAGAATCATGTGTGGAGTTGTACACAAATGAGGCTGCTCTAGGCCGACTGCCTCCGCTCGTTGGGATGGGGCCTGACAGCTTCCCAGAAAAAGTTCCTGCTGTGGCCTCTTTTTCATAGGGCAATTTGGACCGTCAGTGAGTACACAAATATGCTTAGAAGACCGTCTGTGGGGACTGTCAGAGCCTCAGTGGTCGGCAGTCGGAGGGAGGTGAATATTAGGTAGGTATACTTGGCAACGGCTTCACCAAGGTGCCTGGAGGGCAGTGTCTGGATTGAGGGCGTTTGGGCCGCTTCACCCATTTCCTTCCATTAGCTGAAAACCGAGACTGCACTTCAAAAATGTCAGATGACTTACTTTCTTGTCTTTGTTTAAGGAAACAAAGGATTATTTTTATTCATACCTTTTAGATAAAAAGGATTCAGCAATTAGATTACCCCCGCTACCCCTTAGTTCTAGGAGATAAAACAAGGAAATCATTAGGGTTGTGGATAACAGATGGTATTGAGGTGCCTTGTATTGATTGCCCCCTCAAAAAGAGGCGTTTCTTTCGGTTTTGCCCTAGTTAGGGCGAGATTGATTAGTATGAAAAATCTGTGCGTAAGATGATTCGCAAAGAATTGCTTTTGTAATTTGCAATGTTGTTGTGTGCAGCAGTTAAAAGAGTGCTGGCTTTTCTCTCTAGTGAATGTATGTCTTACCTACTTACAGTAGCCGCTTTAGATGACACGTGCTGCCAGAAAGCACTTTGTACCTGGGCGGACTCTCTCATGGACTGGCAGTGATAGGTGTGTGTCTATGGTTTCTTACTTTTGAAACTCAGAAGACGTTGGCAGTTCTAGGCCCATATTCCCTAGTGGCTGCAGTGGGGTAACTCCTGATTTTGAGAGATGGAAAACGTCCAGTTGTCTGCACTTCCTACTGGGCCATTTCCTCGGGATCGCTCCGAGTTGAAATCAATGTGATGGCAGTGAGGGGTTTTGGGTTTTTTGAGGCTAACTCTTGTAGATAGTAGAGCTGTGACCCTTGTGTCAAAACAATGGGATGGGTTGTTAGAAAATTCACCTTGTAATTATTGACTAAGCACTACAGGCAAACTAGTGTAAGATACATAACGTCATCCTGTTTTTAATTAAATAAAATTAAATGTATTTGCATTTTTAAAAAGGTCTAAATAACATCCAGTAGTTGCAAGCAGGAGGAGCATCTATTTTTTTTTTTTTAACATTTTATTAGGGGCTCATACAACTGTTATCCCAATCCATACACACATCAATTGTGTAAAGCGCATTTGTACATTGTTTCTCAAAACATTTTCTCTCCATTGAGACCCCCGACATTAGGTCCTCATTTTTCCCCTCCCTCCCTGCTCCCCCCTCCCGGAGCATCTATTTTTAAGAAGTGTATCATTCCCAATTTTTATGTATATTTTAGCCATTGCGGTTTTGAACTCAGGTATTCCATGCTCTGTGATGTGTGGGGCTGCTGTTCTGAAGAAGAAACCACGGAGGACTTCTTCAGTTCACAGTAGAAGAATCCCTGGGATGCTTGTCGAAGAGGACGACAGGGAGCAGGCACCAGGATCCAACAGTGATTTATTTGTAACCGCACCTTGCTAAGCACGGAGCAGAGGCGGCTTAGGAGCTCAAGCCCCCACTGTTGGATCTGGGTTTGAGAGAGGTCTTTGCCTGATGGCTCATCTCTTCTCGGGAGAAGAAACCCAATTGAAGGTAGTCTAAACGCTGATTCAGAAGCATCTGACTCACTCAGGCCTCAGTCCATTAATTTTTAAAGCAACTAGGACTCCATAATTCCTCAGTATAATGGCTTCTGGCTACCAATTATAGCACTTGTCTCCTTCACAGTCACTGATTCTAACAGCGATTTCCTGAAATCCAACTATGTGGCTTAGAATGGGAGCAGCAGTGAGTCAAGGAACTTAATTCTTTTTGTGGCTCCTAAATTGCTTTATGCTATTTGTCTTTTGGGCATCTTTGTCTCTCAAATTAGCACTGACATCCTTCCGAGGCATGACTGAGTGGGGTTGAAGGCTCTGGGGTAGAGGCTGTCTCGTGGTCAAGTCTTACAGTCCCTAGAACAGGTGGTAGTGGTGAAATCCCATCAAGTCGATTCTGACTCCTGGTATTGCAGAACACAGCTGCTCCATAGGATTTTCTCAGCTGTGATCCTAACCAGATTGTCAGGCCTTTGCTTCCATGGGTACCATTGAGTGGATTCGAATTGCTAGCTTTTAACTTAGCAGTCTAGCGCAGCCATTTGCACCAGAAGAACTTTACAATGTAAATTCTTTAGAACAGAATTTTTTTAAAATCATTTTATTGGGGGCTTGTACTGCTCTTAGCACAATGCTTACATACATCCATTGCATCAAGCACAGTTGTACATACTGTACATACTCACATATAAGCTGAGTTTTTCAGCACATTTTTAATGCAGTTTTTGTGGTAAAATTAGGGGCCTCGGCTGATAATCAGGTCGGTTTATATTCGAGTATATACAGTATGTTGCCATCATCGTTTTGAAAACATTTTCTTTCTACGTGAGCCCTTGGTATCAGCTCATTTCCACC